ATGTGGTAACACTGAACAAATATACTTAATGAAAGTATCAAATAATGGTAAAGAACACAGGATGTGAAAGAACAGAAATTTGGCTTTTCATTTATGTGTAGTACAAGCTTTGGATGTCTCAGTTGTCCTAGCTGTCATACAGGCTTTTAATTGCTACCTCATAAAATTGTTTTGATTATTAAGAAGAAATGTTTTTGTACAATTCTAAACATGTAAACAATAAAGTATAATATTGAAAGAAACAATTATTAATAAATGAACATGGTCTTTAATATTGCAAAGTGCTGGAAGAACTAATGATATGTCAAAACTAACAAATCTGTGAGAATAAAAGTCATTACATCGAGGACAGCAGTGTGTAACACAAAACCCATAGTAGAATTCCTCTTATCTTGGTCTTCTAAATGTGTACTGCTCCTAATGCCTTCTTGATTTTTATACTACCTTTAAAATACGTTAAAACAAAAAAGACAAGGAAAAAAATTAAGATTTCTTGAAAGCAAGCACCAATATTCAATTATTCCTCCAGTCTTGTACAGCTATCAGATTGGAAGATAAAAATAGATGATATGACAACCATTGTTAATGAGTTATTCCTGCTTTGAAAATCTGTAACATATATATTATTGTATGTTACCGTATTTCTGTATTTTTTTCTATTTGACTTTGCCTCTGTTTTCGCTCTTCAAGATAAAATTTTTAGAAAGTCATTATTTTTGAAAAATCATAAGATATTGAAAACTTAGGTCTCCAAATAAAAGAATAAATTTTACTCCTTATCCACTCAGTTTCAAGTATCAGGTACAATAATTTTACGTACTTAGAAAACAGGATATTTGGACATAGAAGGAAATTTAAAATATGGTGCATGCTGTAATGAGTCACACAAGATGAATGTAAAGGTATAAAATGAAATTTATAAATGAAATATAAATAAAACTAAGTGTACAATCAAATGTTTGACCATATGTAAATAGGGTTTGTAGCAATTTCCTATTCAAGAAAACATGGGTATATTGGCAAGTTTCTATAAAACTAATAAGAAGGACTCCTACATCTAAAACAGCTGGCCATGTACAGTTTAAGGAGCTTGTTGGTCTATTCTTCAGAGATCCAGGTAGGCATGGAAGCTCCGGTCCAATTAAGATGATATTTTCATGGAAAAGACAGAATATTTTTCATATCCTTCTGGAGCCTCTCTTTATAACATAGTGAGTATAAATTAAACTAAAAACAAATTTAAAAACTGAATGTTCTTCTCTAGAAAAAACAGCTCAAAGGGAAAATATAGCTGTGATTAGGCAGGAGTGAAATTTGCCTTATAATTCTCTGTACAGTAACAAGGCACAGAAATAGAGGCGTCCACCCTCGACTTGGGGAAATCCTCAACACATCTCTGGACCTCTGCACTCAGTGATCAGTGACACAGAAGGAGCGGAAACAAAGGCACCTGGAAGCTAACATATTTGAGGGAGTCCTTGTAAAGCCTTTCGGTGACCCCTGAGCACTGCTGAGGGAGAAATTTGTGCTAGGATGGCAGATAGTGATAATCTTTTGCTATTAATTTAGATGAGACGAAACAGGAAAATGTTGATAATAACTGTTGGACTCACAGACTAACGCAAACCATAGTATGCTTCATAACTTGTCATAAGTTAAGCAGATATGCAATTTTGTACATATATTTTATGGAGAGAAAAAAGTAGATGAAAACTAGGTTTTACTTCAGAAATTAGAGATTGTCAGGTAAAAGTACACTTGTTAAGATTTATTTAAAAATTTAAGTGAAAGCCTTTTTTGGCATTTTTTATGATTATGGCTAATTAGTTAAATAAATGAGTGATAAAATCCAAGTGAGGCAACATTTACTTGTGACACTTAAGTTTGTGTTACTCTTACAGACAACAGTGAAATTTCATGTAAAAAATTTAAAACTTTACATTTTTCAGGTACATATTACACTGTGCATCTTAAATAACTCCACAGGATTTTGCTAAAATGCAAAAAATTTTGTTCACAATATTCTAAAATCAAAACAGTAGTAGAGGCATACAAACATCCTGTTATTAATAACAATATTCCAAAAATACTAAAGTCCACAAAGAAAAACCTCAATTGGAAAAAATTAAGAAATAAATTAAAAAATAAAAGTATCAATTTAGTCACATTCATTAGACCACACAGAGTAAACCATAGCAAACTAGAATTGCATGTATTTTGTCTCAACCAGGTGGCTTTATAATACTATGATGTTCAACTTTGGATACAGATCATTTTACTTTCCTAAATTATTCCTGGAAATGCAAGTCAGTGCTTGTACCAGTTAAAACACATAAAGCTGTGCATGTTGGTGCGCTCTCGCACCCACCACCACATTTATTGGAATCCTGACCTAGTGGAACCTACTGATGATCATGTAGGTATATTCTGTGAAGATAGTTCACCTAAATCAAATCTATTCTGTGAATTAAGATATAATATGCATTGTAAGAGGGATATTTTAATGATTTTACCATGCCTTACTCCTCAAAAGCTTTCTGCTGAGTTGTAATGAAACACTAAAGCAGCAGAGAAATAGAGGTTTTTTTTTTTTTTAATTTTTAAAATCATTTGTTTCTTTATTTCTTTATCTGTCTGGCACAAGGTCTCACTTTTCAGCTCAGACTCACAGTGATCCTCCTGTCTCAGTCTCCCCAGTGCAGGGATTACAGGCTTGCACCATCATGCTCAGTGTCAGGGCTGGCACAACGCGTCCGGGGTTCTGGGTCTGGCACAGAACGTGGTACCAGGGATTGAACCTGGGTCTTTGCACTTGCCACACAGGTGCTTACACTGAGAAGCTATCTCCCCAGCCCTGGAGCACCTGAAAAAACCTTCTGTCTCCTTTCCCTATCCTTGAAATAGAAGGGCTAATTGGTCTGCTACTCTTTACCAAAGCAAAGCACAACTCATTGTCTCAGAGTGAGCGTGGATAAAATTCTTGTGTATCTATGATGTGTGCTAAGCTCAGGACAGCCAAAATACTAAATTGATATAAAAGGGAAGCCAGGTAATGGTCAGATAGCAGGTCCCTCTTAAACTGAATTTTTTAACACTTGTCGACAGAGTTATGAGAAAACTGACATGTTCATTTATACCACATTAACATCTGTTGGCATAGTCCTGAGGAAAGTAAAACTCAGTGTGTGAAACTAGTTGATCAATTGTGACAACACAGCAAATATTTGTCAGTATTTATTTTGTTGTGTCAAAGTGAATCATCAAATCAGAGGATTAAATATATTTGTAGAAGTCATATTACCAGTTGAGATGAAAATAGTTTGTGACTTGAGTTATCCTGTAGGATGACTAAAGTCAGTGGCTCAAAGGACATTACATGCAAATTATCAGGAGCTAGAAGGACACACTACTGCACCATGCCAGCTTCTGTAGACATTCTGATAAATATGGTATCTTATATCCTGATTTTCCACTCTACCATATTCCACTCCTAGAGTAGAGGAAGAAAAATGTAGACTTTATGTTTTAAGATCTATCGCATCACAGAAATATCCGATTGTTTCTCTTCTTGAAGTAGTCCAGTAACTACTCTTTAAATGTCAAAAACTGTAGTTTATAAAAGCATCAATGTGGATGGCACAGGAAGTAACTTGGAGCTATGTAGAGTCATTTGGTTTCCACTGTCTGGTTCAGCTTATAGATATTTTTGTTTTTATTTTTTTTAACACTAGTGGTCTTCACCAGAGAAAGTAGGTAAATATTCATGCTCATGTTCTCACAAATAACTTGGAGTACAAAGCTCCAAGTTCCACTGAGCGTGGTGTTTTCATAGATTGCTGAATACTATTGTAATGACTAATTTGACTTAAGATAGTTTTGCTAACCCCACCGACAGAATTCCTAGTGTGAAATTGGTAATCATGCTATTGTAAGTATCTTCGTACCTTGGCTTCTGACTGCTGGGATTTGTTTTATGGAAATTAGTGTGGATGATCTCGTAGGCACCAGGAAGAGTGGGTGTGCTCTGAGGGACAGAAATGTTGCAAATGTCAGTTGGAGGGGTGTATACAAGGAGTCATCTGGACAAAAATTTTATTTTCCAATAACAATAGTTTCACAGTTTTGGGAAGTTGAGCGGTTAAATTAAACTACTGTTTTTATTTTTGTTGTTTTCAAAGGGCATTTACTTGAATTTCAGTGAAAATTGAATTCAAGTTGCCAAGCTCTGAAGAATTAAATCAACATACAGTGAAGTAAGATTTGATTTTATAAGAAAATATCCTAGCCTGTCAAGAAGATTCTTATTGTGAATTTGTTTGTTTCACTAAGGAACAATACATATGTATGCATCCCCAGGTAGAAGCTCACTGATTTTCGATTATATATGCATCAACTATTCTTTTCAATGGATATTTCTAAATGATAGAAAACCTAACTCCATTATTTTATTTCTAACTCTGTAGTTTTCTAGGGACTCCATAATTCCTGCCTGCTTTATATAATAAAACCTAACAAAAGAAAAGAATATATTCCTAATCTCCAGAGGAATAACTGATTCAGTTGAAATAACACGCACAAGAAAGTTACGAATTGATGTAGAAAAATCAACTACAAGTTGCTTGGCAGAATCAATCCTTCCTCCACTCACATTTCCACTCTAATAAATAAATAAATA